TCACACCTCACAACCAGGGCACAAGGCTAACGTCACAGAAAAGTACACAGGTGTTCAGAAAAAAAAATACTGTGAAATGTAGGTTTGCCTTCTCCAGCTTATGAAGTTACAAAGTGACTTTCTTTTATCTTTTTAACTTCTTAAAAAGAACACACACTCTTTTTGAGGTAAGGATGGTGAAAAAAAAACTAATTTTGCAAAAGAAAATACAAGCTACCTTAGTTTGCTTCCATTTATAGTGAGAGATTATGTCTCCCTTTTATCTGTCCACCACCACATCTGACACCAAAAGCCCAATCATGAACAGAGCTCTAGCCTGGCAGTCTTATTGCGCCTGCCAGTCCAAGGCATTCAGTATAGGGTGTAGAAAAAGCCAACCAGCAAGGAAAGCAACGTGGGGGTTGGGGTACATTTACTCTGTACTTAGTCAGTGGCTGACCTGCTTGTGGGGCTGGCAGAGGTCAAAGAGTAACCCTAAGGGGAGAAGGCAGTGGAATCCTGGGCTCCAGCCACAGGTGTGCATTAGATCAATTACCTGGGGAGCATGTGGTGGAGCAGCTCAGGGCCAGCTGAGCATCAGCACCAGGCCACTTTGGCACCTGGGAGCTTTCTTCAGCTTGATTGTCTGAGGGACATTTAAGTGCAGTCAGATTTTAATATGATTAGTCCCACAATTTTCATTCTGGCCATTCTCTGGAAAATCCCCACCCCCAACCTTGATGACTCCGATAGCAGCACATGCAGAGTCAGGGGACATCAGGGAATGGACAGGGTCAGACGCCATGTGTCAGTCAGAAAAGGACCGCTCACTCAGTGCAAGGGTCAAGGCTTGGGTTAGGAGGGCATGTGAAATGTGCTTCAGACAATTGTATTAGTAAACATGCTACTATTAGGCATGTAACATGTAACCCCGAAGAGGAGGCTGCTGGTGCATCCATCTCATAGTTGAGGAGACTGAAGCACAGAGATTGATTAGCTAGCTGCTCCTAGGTAACACTGGGCGAGTTGAGTTGGGACACAAGCCCAGGCTGGTGTGACTCAGGCCGATGCTTAACCTCACTCCCCACAAGAACTCCTCAGTGGTTCTATTAAGAGGTGGATGCTGGAGTAGGGCTAGGGTTATCAAGTTGCTCCCTAATTCTGCCCTTGCAGGCAGCACTGTGGCCGAGAGGCATCCTTACTCTGCAAGGTGAAATGGAGGAGCCACAGGGTTGGTGTGGTGTACACACCATCAGCACCAATTATTGCAGGGCTGTCTCATAGGCACAGTGCCCTTTGGGGGCTGCTGTGTGTTCGTCCACTAGGTAACTGGGAGTGGCGGATGAAACCTGCCACATACCGTGCTGCCCCATCCCCTGGGTGACTGGAGATGGTGTGCTTTATGCCTCAGTCTTCTATTCAGTGGGGACAGTAGTCTCTAACCTATGCTGGCATGGCAGGACTGGCGCCAGGAGGGGAATGTGTATGCAAGCACTCATGGCTCCTCATAGTTCAGGCTCTGGCTCACTTCCCAGCAGCCTCGGTGCTGGCTTGGAGTTTCTCCTTCTCTCTACCTGATAGTGAGGGAAGGCTGAAGGCCAAGATTCTTGGGGGGGGGGGGGAAACTGAGGCCCAAGAGGTAGCATCCCAAGAGGCTGAGGGAGTTCCTGGCTTCTGTGAGGCTCTCTCCTCTCTAGTCTTGCCTGGGTGGTCCTGCGATGGGAATATCCCTCGGTCGAATTTGGGGAGTCCGAGGATACTATCCACAAAACCATCCCACAGACGCTCAGGCAGGGAGAATACAACTTTCTTCTCAGAACGGCTCCCACAGAGGCTTTTCTCCCGGCACAGAAGTGTGGAGCTGGTAGTGAGGCTGGCTCCGGAGGGAGCCCGGGAAAGGTGGAGCACCTCCCCTTGCAGCCTCTCTGAAAGACGAGGTATTGCGTGCTCCGGTTGGGGACCCTGGCGCTCGTCACGCACGCCCACGGCCTTCCTGCAGTGGGAGGCTAATTGCATCCCGGTCACGCGGCCCTCCAGCACTCGCGTGGCCCACGACTTCCTCCTGCCTGTGCCCAGAGTGTTCACAGCATGCCGATGGCAGGGATCAGTGGCTCCAGGAGCTCGGCTGTCACCTGCTGCTGCCATTGCACAGACACGGCACCTCCTCTATGCTTCACTTTCCCAGGGTACAACAAATGAACAACTCATGGGATTGCTTTTATTCAAGTCTGATGGAATGTGCCGGCAACATACTCTCTCTCTGGGCTTGCTTCCCCTTTCAGACTAGAGGATTTGTCTACAAAGCCAAACCAATGGGTAGGATTGAGGACCAAGGCCCTGCTTGAACAGTGACAAATCCATACTCCTACAGTGCACATGAGAAGGGACTGTCCCTATGCTGAGTGACATCATCGTTCTCCAGAGGGGAGTGACAGCACAAGTCATCCTTATGATCACACACACCACACACACACACACACACACACACACACACACACACACACACACTGCCTGCTCAAAGGGGGCTGACTGGAGAAGTCTGGTTTCTGTTGTACTGGCTGTTAAGTGCTGCCTGCCTTACCTGCTTCCTAGTTGAGTTCTCTCAAACTGCCCAACCCCCAAATTACACAAAGACAGCCTAGCCCAAAACTAGGTTCTGATGATCACAAGCAGGGAAATGCTTTTGTAACAGCCCAGGAGTATGTCTACTAACCCAGCTGGGGGCAGCACCATTACGGTTCTGCCCTGATAAACATCAGAGTCATTTGCCTACCAGATCCAGGGCTCCTATCTAAGAATGGATGCTAGAGGCTCAAATCTGCCTGGTGTGTGTGTGTGTGTGTGTGTGTGTGTGTGTGTGTGTGTGTGTGTGTCTGTGTCTGTGTGTGTGCTTCAGAACAAAAAAATGGGAAGCCAGGGGAAAGGGCAGTTGTGAACTAGTCCCTTGGTGGTAGCTTGTAGGTGGAATCACGTATAAAGATTTAAACAAACAGAATGCATCACTATGGAAACAACCGGTTTTTTCAAAGGAACTGTTAAAAAATAAAGTAGTCAAGACTTCAGATTCAACACTCCAAGTGTTTATGACCAGAAAAGGCAAAGTGGGTCTTAGCTACTCTGCAGCCAAGAAAAAGCTGCCAGAACTCAAGGAAGAAATATTCCCAGCAGAGCAGGAACCCATCATCTGTCAGGCTTTCCCCTGGAACCCTCAGAGGGGAGCATTCTGCTCACTGCATGCCTACTTAACTCTTTCAGGGATGCTATGGCATGGTTCAGCAGCCTAGGCTCTTTATTTATGGGATCCAGACAGACCTGCCATGCACCAGAGGAGAGTCAAGGGAGCGGAGGTGGAGAAAGGAATCTAAAGAACATTCATGTATGAGCTGTGATCTGAACGCATTAGAGGTCATCAGCTGGGCTAGTGGATCTGGACCACAGCAGAAGCCCATTTCTGCACTGAGTGTCACACTGTTCCTTCATGTGCCTGGAGGCAAATTCCATTTCTGGGGTAAAGCCCAGCAGTGCACCTGTCTGGAGAAGTGATGCTGTTACCATGCCTCACACTTAGTTTGGACACCATCAGGGCTCCCTCCTGCCATGTTCTCAAGAGATGACAGAAGAAACAATAGGGAAAAATTTACCGATCGGTGGAAGTTCTGAGGCATATCCTCTTGGATATGGTTAGGAACCGCTTGCTAGGGAGGCTGCCCAAGACTGTTTCTAAATTCACTGCACCCAGCCCCAGCCAAAATGAGTTTCCCCAGTTTAATGACACTGTGAATTCGGTGGGTCACAGCTTCTGACAAGATGCTCATGTTGGCTGAGGAGAAATGTAATGCAGGCATCTACCCTGATACATAAGAAATCAGGGGACACTCAGGTGGCCTGCAGCTGGCTATGGCCAGCTCTGCTGGAGCAAGGGCTTCAGAGGCGTCCACCTCAGTTCAGCATGGATGAGAAAGGGGGCACCGGCTTTGGAAATAGCCTTTGAAATTTGTCTCTTTCCACCACAAGTCCCACTAAAATATTTCTTAGGGACTCAGTTTCCTGTCCCCACAGAGTGACAATAAAAATTCATAGTACAGGGCCTTCAGGCAACCAAAGCTCACAGAGGGCAACTAAAACAAAACTGTTTCTCACGATCAGTTGCATATTGACTGGTTCAGTTGCAATATTGACTGGGTCTGTGTTTCATGTGCTTTGTGTCTGCAAACAGCTTTGCCTCAGTTTTGTCAGGGCAGGATCTACAAAAGGCTGGTGCGGTGATTTAACACCACCATTCCTACCTACACCAAAACTCTCTAGCTCTGGTCTATGGCAAGAACCAGCTTAGACACATCAGAAGGCACAGGGTCCTTGTGCGGGGAATAGCATGTGGCAATCTACAGTAAGGACAAGAAACAGCAGCTGTGGCTTCTGCTCTTTGCCTATGAAACATGGGTGGAGGTCCAGCTTGTGTGGTTGGATAGGATGGTGTTGAGTGCAGAGTGTGAACACTGCCCTAAAGTAGGAAGAGACAAGCCCCTGCAATGAGGATGGAGCCACCAGCCAGTCTTTTTATAAGGAAGGGAGGAGGAATTTCCGGCCTCAGTGATTGAAGGCCTAATCCAAGCCAAGTATACTAGGTTCTCTTTGCTTTCACTGGAGAATGGCTGGGAAATAGAGGGCTTAGGCTCATGGTGATTCATACTGCCTCCTAGGAAGGCTTAGTACAATGCTCAAATTCTAGTACAGCCTTTAGAATTTCTTACAAAAGGATCTATATACATTTTAAAGAACCAGACTCTGACACAAGGAAATAGGGAGTCTGGCCAGGCCAGCTCCATCTGAGCCCTGAATAAGCTTGCAGGCCTCTGGCACGTTTCCATGTCACAGGGATCATCCATGTGATGGAAACAGGATAAAAACCAAGATAGTAAATTTTCCTCCCAGGACGAGCGAAACTCTAACCCTGTGTCCTACTTTCATCCACTGACACTCTTCCTTGGGGCCTGAGTTAATCAGGTACATTACTCCTCAGCCTAGGTCAAAGAGTCATGTGTTTTTATGATGCAACAAGGGGCAGCTACCCCATTCTGTTTTGGAAACCTTGGTGACATCACAGGCTAAACCCTGAACTTGGTCAGCCAGTAAAAAGGAACACTGAGTCAGAAGGGCCTTAGTCACAGGCTTCTGAAATCTAAGGTAGAAGAACCATGAGGTCATCCAGGCTATTCCCTGCAGGGCTGCTCAGATTCTATCTGGCTTGGGTTTAAATGACTCAAGGAAATCTCCAGGGGAAGCTAATCCATTGGAACAGCTGTTACTAACAGGGCATTTGCTGTTCTTCAACCAAAACTGCAGCCTGGTTTCCTGACACCCAGTTATTCCTTGTTTCCAGGAGACAGCATTGTCTTTCCAGGTAGGACTACCTGGGGTATAGGAAGGAGCAGCAAAGCTGCCTTCTCTTTATTCAGAGGCCTGTAGCCTAAGTGTGCCCCAGGAAGACTGACAGCTGGGAGATTCAGCTGAATAAACAGTGTTCCTGAACACACAGCTTTCCATTACAATAACACATAAGCCAAGAAGTTAAGGAGTCAAGGAAGACTTCAACAAAGCCCAGAGAAGCCACCTCTGTTTGGGTTTCAGCAGCTGTCTGCCTGTGGAAGGCTCCAGAGTCACTGACATGTATTTATATCTCCATTTTGCTAACGTCATAAGGAACAAACATGCTCAGATCTTCCCGAGAGGCTCAAGGACATTTGTATTTCTTCAGATTAATGGGGGAGGGCAGGAAGAAAAGAGCTGATGGCCCAAATCATCTGTGAGCAGTCACAGCAGTGTTCAATCTGTTTAATGATAACCCTTGATTTAGAGATTTGTCTAAATTTGTGCCCTTAGTAGACATGTTGGCAACATGAAGCACTGGTAGCTGTCATGCAGAAGGACAAGGACCAGGGAGGCAAACTCCACAATTTCCAAACAGCCACACAAAGAGAGGGTGTGGAGCAGCCTCTAAAAGTTCTTCCAGGAGTGGGGGGAGGGGCTGCACAGCCCCCCATCTCAGTGGCCAGCTTTGCAGATGTGCCCCATCATCAGGATGCTCCTCCAGGGTCTGGATAAATGGTCCGAAAGGTTAGGTTTACTCTCGGTTCTCTGGAGTGGTATTCCTTGGGCACTCGGTGCTAAATGGAAATATTAATAGTTGTCCAGCATAAATATACATGCATTTTTTTTGTTCAACTTATTTATGAAGATAAGGAAATAGTCCCATTTTATCCCTGTCTAAATGAACAGTTCTAGGTGTTCTACAGGCCTGTGGGAAGAGATCTCCTCCTCTGAAACAAAATTCCCCAGTCTCAGCAGCCCGTGGCAGTGCTCCGGCAGCAAGGCACCTGTTACTTTTACCCTAAATGCCTGTATCTAATGTGACCTCACCCACATTGACCTGGATAGTTGTGGTGCTGTGAGGCCCAAGATGGCAGCCTGAGATTTTTACAAGTAAATTGGTGCAATGGCTAATGGCTGCAATGGCAGCAAGGATACGGACACATTCATCACTACAAGAACTTCAACCAGAAACCTCTGCAGAGAGGTCTGTTTTGACTGATTCCTGGCTTATGACATCACTTTACTGCTACTTGCTCAGCATAAGCACTTGCTTCCCTTCTCATGTGTACTTTGAAATGACTACTCCTTAGCCAGTGCAGAAGCTGCCCCCATAGAGTGAATTGGTAGTACTTTTAATCCCTCACCTGCCAGTCTGCTTGTGTGGCTCCTTCCATGATTAGCAAGGTCCCGTGATCCAGTGGTATCTTCACTCTTTCCACATATGTATAGTCTCCATTCTCTTCCTACAAAACAGCAGCCATCCCCCTGAAGTTTTTATGCATTTGGTCAAGAAGCAAGAGAACCTTGGAGGCAGTCACTCCTCAGCCAGGCTGTGGGAGCTTGCAGAAGGCTCTGTCCCTCGGCAGCTCCTTGGCCTTAAGCCAGCTATTTTACCTCTCTGTTATTTGTAACATGGGAATAAAGATAAAAGTAGTAGTATCTGCCACACAGAGCTGATCTGTGCCTCAGACGGTGTGTAAATGACTTGGGGACCAGCAATAGGAAGAAATGTGTAAGAGTGAGTTGTGTGTGGTTACCACTCCTCAGAGAAGCCCACCCTGACCTAGGAGGGAGGTTATGACTCACCTACCTCTGCTATACAGAGCTATGACCCAACATAATGGGAAGAAAATGGCCTTTGACAAAGGCATGCTTCACCTGGCAATAATACGTTAATTTACTGATTACTAACTACTTTAGAACAAAGTTTCTCAACCTTCCTAATACTGTGACCCTTTAGTACAGTTCCTCATGTTAGGGTGACCCCCACCCATAAAATTATTTTTGTTGCTACTTCATAACTGTAATTCTGCTACTGATATGAATAGTAATAGAAATATCTGTGTTTTCTGATGGTCTTAGGCAACTCGTATGAAAAGGTTGTCTGGCCCCCAAAGGGGTTGCGACCCACAGGTGAGGAGCCACTGTTTTAGAACTAACCTGGCTGTCCCCTTGGCTACTCTAGGTGTTTGGGAGATGTATGCCTGTCTTGTTTCAAACAGGAATTCTCTCAATGGCAGGGATTTCTCAAACACGAGAGCTCTGGCTTGACTAGATCAGTGCTGTCAATGAAGCCTGGTGTTTGTGCTTTTAAACCCTAACAGCACATTGGATAGCTCAGCTCTGTGGCAGATACTGTCACCAAGCACATCTCAAGGAGGTCAACAGGTGCTTTGCTCCTCTTTAAGCAGCTGGTGCAGTGAACAGCTTCTTGGCTTCCTGGCTCAGCCCCCAAGAGCTCCCTGGGTGAGATTGGGACAGACCCAAGCTTCTTAGTTTCTTCTCTTCCACTGTGGGCAGGGCCAATGGGCCCATCTATCCATCTGCATCCCTTCCCATGCAACGGTTACATTTGGGTTACTGCAGGATTTACTGTAGTGTGAGTCTGTTTATGTTTATTACTGCAGGGGTCTTTCTGAGAACTTAACTGTTTACAATGATTTCCCCAGGAAAATCTAAAATCAAAACAATACTGAACTTGTATAAACAGTCTACGTTCCAGAGCCCAACCCTTGGCAGTGACTTTGTCAAGGACAGCCAGAATTTTTACAGACAGAAGACATAAGCAATGTTTGAAATAACTTTTGATTGGTTGGCTGGTTTTGTTTTGTGTCTTCTGTCACCTTTCCTCTTCCAGGAATGAATAAGCAGCAAACACTGACCTCTGACTGCTCAGCCGGCCAGAGAGCACACTGGGAATGGACCTTGCCCATGCATACCCATGCCCACCTCCACACTCACCTGCACTTCAGAAGGCAAAAGTTGGTGCTTGGAAAGAGTATGCCAGATGGAGATAAATGCCTCACTAGAGGAAAGACAGCAAAAGAGAGGGTCTATTCTTCATAACATCAAAGGGCTATCAAGGCTTAACATAGACTGAAAGGCAGGTCAGCTCAAGTTAAATCTTGGCTGGAGGCAGAAGGATCTCTCCTGCTCGCTACAGAGATAGGGAGGGCAACATGGCATGAATTTGTAAATTGTACAGAGACTACGATGAGAGTGAAATGATGCTCAGAGGAAAGACTTCACTACCACACAAGGGCAATTCTGAGATCTTCTAACATCCATAGGACTGTGGAGGTAATTCTGAGATCTTCTAACATCCATAGGACTGTAGAGGTAGAGGCGTTGAAAGCAATGGGGAAGGGGTGAGCGATGTAATTCCATCTGGAACCATGTAACAGGAATGCATCCCAGAGGCCAAAGAGAATTCCATATGCAAGATAGCCATCAACACTGATGGAAACAAGCTTAACAGATGCACTCTCCAATTGTTAGTTACTCTTTACAATCTGAATTTTTCAAGTGAAAGAAAATTCCAGGCATATTTCAAACATTTAATATGCAGCATGGCCACTAGCCACACCAAAAGGCACATCCTTGAGGATGAACATTCATGTGGTCCCTAGGGACTGGGATGTGGTGTGGAGGTGATATTGTTTCTTCCCTACTTGTAATTTATTCCTCCTAATACTAGTGACTTAGAAAACACATTCCTAATTGCAGGAGATGGGCAGTAATGAAGGCAAGTGTGGTGGTTTGAAAGAAAATGACCCCCCAAAGAGAGTGGCACTATGAGGAGGTGTGGCCTTGCTGGAAGTGTGTCACTATAGGGGTGGGCCTTGAGATCTTTTGTTCAAGCTTCCCTCAATGTGACTGTCAGTCTACTTCAATTTCCTGTTGCCTGCAAGATGTAGCACTCTCAGCTCTGGCAGCACACCTGCCTGCATGCCTCCACGCTCCCTGTCATGACAATGGACTTGAAACTCTTGAAACTAAGCAAGCTACCCCATTTAAACGATTTCTTTATAAGAGTTGTCATGGTTGTGGTGTCTGTCTGTTCACAGCAATAGAGAATCCGAACTAAGACATCAAGGAAGCCTTCAATGGACCAGCTCATTAATGGACCAGCCTCTTAAGGCAGAGCAGCAACTCAGGGGAAGCAGATGAAAGGCCAGGGGGAAACTCATGCTATGAGCAAAGGCTGGGTAATGTGGGGAGCAGGGGCCACACTGTCAGAGAAGCTTGTTCATGGCTACCAATGGCTACATCACCTCTCTGACCCTCTGTTGTACCCAGGCAAGACAGCACACACAGCTTAAGATAAAAATGTCTATCCCTGCTATCAACTAAAAGAAGCTTCTAGGCTAACAGTCAACCTATGAGGAGTTGGTGGTGACTATAGATGTTCTGGAGTTTTCCACATATTGAAACCTTATAAATAGAAGAGAAAGACACAAGTGGCTTGCTTTTCTATTCATGCTGAAGAGAACCCTCACTCTCCAAGTATAGCAGCCCATCTGGATGCTCAGGGACTCTTTCCTAAGGAATGTCGGGGCCTCGCACACTCCTGCCCTCATCCCACCAAGGCATCACCCTATTTAGTTTCCTTAGGAAGACAGCACTTAGGGGGAAACCCTGGGTGAGTTTATATCATTATTGGCCACTAAAGACAGGAAACAAGGCAATTTCCTTCTCATTAAAAAGGTAAAATGCACATTATGAAATTTGAATTTTTTCAGGTAATCTCCTCTTTATTGTCCTAAAGGATGTTAGAAGTTTCAGCCATTGAGCTGTTGGTGGTGGCACATGCCTTTAGTCCCAGGACTGGGCAAAGGCAAGGTGTCTATGTGAGTTGGAGGCCAGCCTGGTCTATAGAGCTTGTTCCAGGAGAGGCTCCAAAATAATATAGGGAAACCCTGTCTCAAACAAACAAACAAACAAACACACACACACACAAACAAAAAAAAAAACCCAAACAACAACAACAACAAAACAAACCCAAAGTTTCAGTCAGCCTTCATTACTTCACTTTCTTTTTTTTTTCTTTTTCTTTTTCTGAGACAGGGTTTCTCTGTGGCTTTGGAGGCTGTCCTGAAACTAGCTTTTGTAGATCAGGCTGGTCTCAAACTCACCGAGATTCGCTGCCTCTGCCTCCCGAGTATTGCGACTAAAGATGTGCACCGCCACCACTACCACCTAGCTCATCATTACTTCAAAATCTTCATATTTTCTTTCTAGAATACATCATATAGAATACATAACTCATGTAAGGAATTCAGTTCTAACTTGCCACTGTCGGCTTTGCCATTCACAATCAGGGGAAAGGCTGTGGATTGCTGTTCCTTAGAAACAATAAATACCCATAACTAGGGCACATCAGTGGACAGATGCTAAGTGACTGAGGAAAGTGCCAATAATACAGAGACCCCATCTGCTCCTCCCTTTCAGAGTTCACATGCAGTATTCCATCTATACGATCATTTCCATTTTAATGTATGAGCACTAGGCTTTAAATATATAATAGTTCAAAAATATTGTCATGTAATATTGCTTTGCACAAGCATACCCTTTTTTCTTTAAGCCCACAGATACGTTAGACTACCTGTGTGTCAGGCATTGCACCGGTGCTGGGGTATAGCAGTGAAAAGTACATTGTGAGACTGAGATATACCAGTATTACTGATTTGCTGTTGTTTTTAAAGGAATAAGGAAAAGGTTACTGCAAGTAGACTTGAGGCGAAGCATTACTAAACACATATATCTTGGATACATTATTAAAGATGGAACTCCTGGACAATGATACAACTTTTAAGATGCCTGATTATGGTGCCAAGCTACTTCACAAAGCTTCCAGCAATTGGTAATTCCATGAGGAAAATATGGCAGTCCTAATCTTCTGGCTGAACACTGTCATTGCTGGTGGTAGGGAAATGAAGGGAAAGAACAGCACAACTAAGAAGCCCAGGTCAACATTTCCCCACCTGCACATCTGCTGCTGTCTTTCCTCCGCCACAGTCTCTGTGCTGTGGGTGTTAACACTTTTCTAACTCACCAGTGACTGCAGACATTGAGCTGGCAAGCCATTCACCTTGGCATAAGTCTTGCAGGAACTGTTCTTGTTTCTATCTGCCCTTTAAGTGTTGTTTGATGTTGAATAGCTCAACAGTGTCTGCACGTGACTCTATTGACCTTCCGTTGACCTCTTTCATGTGTTTTATGCTTAGAAAGGCTTTTCGATCCTGAGGAAAGTTAAATATACAACTGCATTTCCTTTTGTTAGGAAAAAAAAAGTTCACATTTTTCCGATTTAATTCTTTAGCCTACACTGCATTTTTGTTTTATTTTAGGAGTTTCTGTTTGTTTTCCATGCCTTTGCGGGTGGGGTCTACCCAGTAGATCCAATGTTTCTCTCATAACAATATCCAAGTACTGAATAGAAAGATTCCTGCTAGGCCTGTAG